AAATGAAAAAAAAAAAAAAAAAAAAAAAAAAGAAAGGTATTCAAATAAGCCTACTACCAACCAAATGCGAGAGTACGTACTGACACTACCTATGAATAATCTAGACTACCTAACCTACTATCCTAATCTTTGACCTCCACACCTTCCTATCACGGGTCATGTCCTCGGTCAGCTGTAGTTGCGCCATGTCATGCCTAATCACCTCACCCAACTCTTCTTCGATCTACCTCTACCTCTCCTAAGGCCCTCCAATGTTAACCTCTCACACCTCCTTACCGGAGCGTCTGTGCTTCTCCTCTTAACATGTCCAAATCATCTAAGCGGTACTTCCTGCATCTTGTCCTCAATAGGGGCCACACCCACCTTGTCCGGAATAACTTCATTTCGAATCCTATCTAATCTGGTGTGCCGGCACATCCATCTCTGCTGCCTTCATCTTCTGGACGTGAGAGCTCTTGACTGGCCAACACTCAGGCCCATGCAACATAGCCGGTCTGACCACCGCTCTATCAACACGCAACACAACCCAATAGCATCCCACCAGTGGGGTCTGGGGAGGGTAGAGTGTACGCAGACCTTACGCCTACCCCAGAGAGGGTAGAAAGGCTGTTTCCGGGAGACCCTCGGCTCAGAGACAATCGATCTATGACAACAAAACCTGAAAAATAATATCAGCAACATGAGAGACGGCGAATAAATGAAAAAGCAGTAACACAAATATTATGCAAAAGTATGAAACACAATATAAATCACTAGCAGTGCTAGACAAAATACTATCATACTCGTCGGTACAAAGAGGGGAAACCGGGTCAAAGAGGAAAATCGCTCGACTACCCTTTAACCTACAACCCTAATGCTCGACCTCCACACCTTCCTATCAAGAGCCATGTCCTCAGAAATCTAGAGTGGCGCCATGTCCTGTCTGATTACGTCGCCCCAATACTTCTTAGGCCGCCCTCTACCTCTTCTCGTACCTGCCAAAGCCAACCGCTCACACCTCCTAACCGGGACATCTAGGCTTCTCCTCTGCACGTGTTCGAACCATCTAAGCCGCGTTTCCTGCATCTTGTCATCCATCAGAGCCACGCCCACCCTCTCCCGAATATCTTAATTCCTAATCTTATCCATCCTAGTCTACCCATACATCCATCTCAACATCCTCATTTCTGCTACTTTCATCTTCTGGATATGTGAATTCTTGACTGGCCAACACTCAGCCCCATACAACATGGCCGGTCTGATCACCACTCTATAGAGCTTACCTTTGAGTTTCGGTGGACATTCTTGTCACACAGGACTCCAGACGCTAACCTCCATTTCATCCACCCCACCCCAATACGGTGCATTACATCTCTGTCGATCTCTCCATCTCCCTGGATAATTGACCCTAAGTACTTAAAACTTTCTCTCTTGAGGATAACCTGTGAGTCAAGCGTGACTTCCACATCTTCTTCCCCTGTCACGTCGCTGAACTTACATTCCATATATTCCGTCTTAGTCCTACTCAACTTGAAACCTTTAGACTCCAGGGCCTGCCTCCATACCTCCAGTCTCCCATTAACACTGCCTCGTGTCTCATCAATCAGGACTATATCATCAGCGAACAACACACACCATGACACCTCTCCTTGGATATGGTTTGTCAGTGCGTCCGTCGCCAGGGCAAATAAGAACGGGCTGAGCGCAGATCCTTGGTGTAACCCCATAACCACAGGGAAAGGTTCTGAGTCACCTCCCACAGTTCTAACGGAGTCATAGCTCCATCATACATATCCTTTATCGCCCTAATGTAAGCCACCGGCACACCTTTCACCTCCAGACATCTCCAAAGGACGTCCCTGGGGACCTTGTCATACGCCTATATGCAAATCCCTTCCTATCCCTGTATTGTTCCACCAACCTCCTGATAAGGTGGATAGCTTCCGTAGTAGAACGACCCGGCATGAACCCGAACTGGTTTTCCGATATAGACACCGCCCTCCTTATCCTCCCTTCCACCACCCTGTCCCAAACTTTCATAGTATGACTTAGTAACTTGATACCCTTATAGTTGTTACAATTCTGGATATCACCTTTGTTCTTGTACACCGGAACCATTGTACTCCACCGCCACTCATCATGCATCCTCTTCGTTCTGAAGATAATATTATACAACCCAGTCAACCACTCCAAACCTGCTCTACCCGCATATCTCCAAAATTCTATTGGAATCTCGTCTGGTTCGGTCGCTTTGCCCTGATTCATCTTACCCATCGCACCCACGACCTCCTCAACCTTGATGCGCCTACAATACCTAAAGTTGCGGTGACTCTCGGAGTGCCCCAATTGCCCTAACACGATGCCCCAATTGACCCAATTGACCACCGCTCTATAAAACAAAAATTAATTTTATTAGAAGATTGAAAAAAAATTATTTTTGACAATTCACTCGTTGTATAAGCAAATGACTAGTACTACAAATACTCATTCGAGAGAGATAAAGTTTTTCTAATAAATAAGGAAAAACGATAAATTTAATTAGAAGACAACAAAACTTACCAATATGTGATAACTTGGACTGTGTTTAGCTCTTTTTATAAACTAATTTTTTCAATTATAGTGTTCTTATTAATTACTTCATTCATTATTCTTCATTAGCTTCTAATCGTTGGAGTTAGGTCAATTAATCCTAAGAGCATACAACTAATACATTCCACTTTTTACTTTAGTTTTATCGGAGACAATCTTTTAGAGAGATATGATATGCTATTATTATTTTCTTAACATATACTTCTTGATATTTCTTTGTGTCTTATGCCAATTGAATAAAGTATATATATATTTAGCAATATATGTAATAATTTGAAGCATACCCCTGAACAATTAAAATGGTCCAAATATTTCCCTATGCAATTAGAAAGGTCCAACTATACCCTCATGTGGCTTCATTCGTTAGTACGAGGGGCATATTTGGACCTTTTTAATTGTTCAAAGTTATATTTGAACCAGAAGATAACAGTGAGGGAATTTAGGGCTCAATAGGTGAATGAAAGACATTTGTATACCTTGTCCAATAGATCAGGGATAGTTTTGGCCCTTTTCCGATATATTTATAATCTAAGTTGCTCGGACAAGGGTGCGGATCTAGAGGTTGGATCCTTCGAGATGTAAATTCTAAAATTCGGGATATGGATCCTAGTACGGTTACAGTGCAGTGATCCGGCTAAAAATAATTCAAAAATATAAAAATATCTCTAAATTAGGAGAAATATTTTGGATTACTTGCGTATAGATTGTAAAGTGTGAATTTCTTTTTTATTCTCAAGTTATAGATAAGTAAATGATTGACTTCCTAGATAAGGTATGATATTTTTTTCAAATTTACCCTAGTTTTCGTTCTGATTTCGGGAATCAAATTGTATCTCATCTAGAATTTTTCCGTCTATCGTGGTCAAAGTACTCAAAATTGTTTGACCATATCCGATACGGATTCCATACCCACACCCATACTAGTGTCGTCTCGACACAGGTGCGGCGCCTAAATTGCCGTGTCGAAGCAATGTAGTTTATAATGTGCTTTTGGTGGGTTTAGACGTAGTACTAGGTCCTACACGTCTTTGATTTGTGCTAGTTTTCTCAGACAGCCTTGTTCCAGATCCTGTTTCAAGTAATTTCTTAGGTTTGCCTGTTCTCTCTACCTTCCTTTTTGTTAACAGGGTGGGGAAGGGGGATTGTATTTGGAATTGAGGTCGTTGACATATTTCTGCCCCTCCATAGTTTTCTATTTGGTTGCTCTTGGTACAACAAGTCAATACATGCTCATTTTCAGTGTCCAGAATTATTTTTTATTCATTCCATATTCATTCAGCAGGTCAGCAACTAATGGCAAGGCAAAAACATCAACAAGCTGTGCCTGTTCCGAAAACTAAGAAAGGTAGTTCGGGTACCTCATTGGTGGACCAGCTGAGTGAAGATAGCTGGATAATAGTCAAGAAGCAGAAAGTCACCATTTTGATCCCTCCCCTACCTGTACTTAAGCAGTCCGTGGTGCATGACGCTGGAGAAACCCTGCTACATGTACCAACAATTAAACCTACTGATACTCAAACATATCAAGTTGAGATGCATACTGAAGGAGACGTAGTTTGTAAAATGGAGGAGCCAATGTCTTTGGCACCTAAACTTGCTATACCAACAGTTGCCAAAGTAGTTCCTCAATCAATTTCTCAGTTGCCAAGACCATCTAGGCTAATTGAAAGAGAGCGCGTAGAAACCCGGCCAATGCCTAGTTTCAGAACTAATAGAACGGCTGGTGTTTGCTCTGCCTCAAAGATTGCCAAGCGATCAATTATCACTGCTGATAGGAGTGCGATGATAAATAAAAGAATGAGAGCAATTAATCTTGAGCGCAAGCTTCAAAGTGCTGGAGGATTGAGAAGTTGGTTGGTTTCGAGGGGCCTTGATCATTTTGTGAGCATCTTTCAGAGCAAGAGCATCAACAAGTATCAGTTGGCAAATCTGACCATGGAAAAGCTCAAGGAGATGGGTTCACATGCTGTTGGTCCTCGGAGAAAGCTGATACATGCTATTGACTGCCTTTGTCATCCATTCTGTTTTGAGCATATGTGATCTCATGAGATGCGATGACCATTGTCAGTGAGATGCTACTACATGGATTGCTTCAACCCTAAAAGTTAGTTCCAAACTGATCAGGCATGTGTAACAGAAGTTGTCGATATCTTTTGTAAATTCTCAGATCTTTTTTGGTGCCTCTTGCCTGTAGAAGTATAACGGAACAGAATGCTATTGAACCACTTAACAGAAAGATTAACAAAAAAGAAAATAGAATGTTGTTGAACATTAGGCAAATGGATAAAATTTTGGATAATGAAGTACCTTTATAAGGACTCCATCCCAACGCCCATTCTCATTTGATGGCTATTTTGGGCAAATTGATGAAATATTGGATAATGAAGTAGTATTTATAAAGACTTCATCTCAACATCAATTCTCATTTGATGGCTATTCTACTTGAACATTTTCATGAACTCCTCTTGCATTTTGAACCCTAAGTGTTGACCCTCAACAAGGCAGGCCCGTGAATCTTGATCGGGATCGCAATGGTGAAATTCAAAAATAGCCAGATTTTCAATTGGTCGTTCAAAAATAGCCCCGTTTTCAAAAGTAATCGAAATTTAGCCGCTTTTCATGTAAAGATAAATCTGAGCGAAAACACTATTCAAAACCCGGAAAATATGCCAGTAAATTATATTGGAGTTCCAGCATAAATATGCTTGAACTCCAGCATATTATACTGGAGTTCCAGGATAACTATGCTGGAACTCCAGCATAATATACTGGAGTTCCAGCAAGTATAATTGTCCAGTATAATATACTAGAATTTGGAGCACCGGTGCTCCAATCTCAAGTATATTATACTGGAGTCAGCAAAGTATACTGGTCCAGCATAATATGCTGGAGTTCATACACAGGTGCACCGAACTCCAGTATATTATGCTGGACCGGTCTCTGTTGCAGCAAAATAATGGCTATTTTTCATTGACTTCGTAAACGCTGGCTATTTTTGAATGACCGGTCCGAAAACTGGCTATACCGTGCTATTTTTACGGATCGCGAGTACTATTATGAATGATAATAAAATATTGTCGAACCTTCTGAATGTTTCTAAATATTAGAATTAGGGATGGCAGTGGGGCGGGGTAGAGCGGGTTTGGATTGAACCCACAAAAATTTGAAATCCCCACCCCCAGCACCCGCCCCGCACCCGCATAAGTTTTTTTCTTCTTCCATTTTTTTTATTTAACTAAAACAATTCGGTTAAACATTTCATTGTTCTTTTAAATGAAGAGCTTATCAATTATGTTACTCGAGCAACTTAGTACTTTTTTTTTCCCTTTGTGTTGGGGACTCGAGAAAAGACCCTACTTGAATTCGAAAGAAGAATGTTCAAATATTATCAAATGTACTCAATCCTCCTTGTCGTTTTTATTGACCCAGTTGTATTTACAAAGTCAATAACTCTCTTCTTGTTACCTTTTCAAATTCTTTTCGATAATACACCTTTTCAGTTGTTTTTTTGGTCATTTTTAATTAAAAGGAAAATAAAAAGACGATTCTGTTAGGCCAAGAATTTATCAATTCAATTGTCACAAACTGAAAAAAGAATTGTCATAAACTAAACTAGTGCAATTGGGTCATGCAGAAATTGAGTTGATAATCTCACCAAGTAACATAAAAAATAGAGATACAAAAAAGAGTTTAATAGAGAAAAAAAACTGGGTGAAGTGTTTAAGCTTAATGTCAAAACTGTAGAAGGGCAAGAAAGGGAGTAGATTGCTTTAATGGTTTCAACCTGCAACCCGCACTGGCCCACTTGAAATTTTTACAAAAAGCAGTCAACCCGCCCCGCCCCTCCTCGCCTCATTGCCATCCCTAAGTAGAATTTATCAAACTGTGAGGCTGCTAAAGAACGTGGAATACTGGTATTCCACAATTCATTATTCACCATACACTGTAGTACCAGAAAAGTTGAACATAATTGTGTTTTCTTCTATGCTCTCCCTATGAAACTCAGGTGTACACTAGAATGTTATTTTGTCCCATTATGCAACATTACTGTTAATACCACATGTCGCAATGAGGTGTTTCAAGGTGAAGCACAATACTTTAATGCATGGGCTGATTTATTTTTTAGTTTATGGTGTATGTGAACCCATGGTATCTCCGTCAAATTAGGTTATTTTATGTAAATATTTTCTAAAATTGATCTAATATTATCTTTTGGCATCCATGCTCTCAAAATGTTGAATGGTGTAACTGGTTGAAGGTTTAGTTATTTAACTAGACGAACATGGATCACTTCCTACTTTATACTTTCTTTCTTTTTTCTGCTTTCTTTAATGGTGCACCATGTTCTAGAAATCCTAGAACCTACTTTAATGCAAGTGAGTTCAGGAACATTGAAAAGATCTGCTACTTTATAAGGATTAACCAGGCTGAAGCTAATTTTTGGTAAGGGGAGAAGAAGGGAAGAAATTTTATGCTTTCAAGCATTTCAAGAAAATGAATATCCTCATCGTACCCCCACCATTTTCCCCCCTTTTCCAGAGTACATTATATTAAAATTTGACCACGATTATTTGAACAAGATTTTGCACATACTAAGAAGAACTTTTTTCCCCGTAGTGTTATGTGAAACTGACTATCTAATCAGGGCGGCTCAACGGTATCCGGGGCCTAAAACCAAACTTCAACGAGGGGCCCTAAGTTTTTTCATATTTAAAAACTCATTTAATAAAATTTTATTTTGAAGTTTATTTTTCTAGCCTTTTGAGATGTAAATTTTTTAATAATTTATTTATAATCGATTTCTTAACTAGGATTATATATATTTTTACTTTTTAGGATTATTATTCAATTTTTGTAGGATTTTCTGATTTTCTAAAAGATCTATGTTAAATTCTCACAAACTTTCTTCTTCTTCTTCTTGGATTCCATTCTCTTCTAGCTCAATTATATTAGTGGTTTGTTTATCTACCATAAATTCTTCCTATTTTTGGGGATTGTATTAAAGTTCCAATTCTTCTCTCTCTTTTTTGGCATTTTTAATATGCGGATTCATATTTTCTTGTTGACATATTAAAATTCTAATAAATTAAAAAAAGATAATACATATACTTACAAACAAAGTAAAGTAATAAGAAAAGTATAGAACAATTGAACCTGGTTTAACATATTGTCATAGATAACTTGATATTACTTTTGTTGTTTCAATATTTTTGGTGCAATATCGGGAAAGATTGACAAAAAAAGAGTTCGTAATTGCTTTCTGCTATCATATTTGACAGAATATTTTATGAGACAGTGGACTTATAAGTCTGGAAAGGCTAAAAGGAATATAAAAGATTAAGTAAAAATTAGTTTAAAGAGAAATTAATAAAAGTAATGTGGGCCCTATGATAATAATGATAATATATAAAGGCAAGTAAGTTACTATTCCTATTCCCAAATTATATTTATCGGTTCCATAGTTTCCTTATTTATGAAAGATATACTTTTTTATATACTAAATATTTTTTTAAAAATTCATCAAATACAAATACAGGTATTTATTAAGACTAGTCTCTCTCAACGTGCGTTGCACGTTATCTTGTATCATTATTATAAAGTTTGTATTGCAAATTATTGAATAATTATCATATACATGCTTTAAGAATTTTTAAGGGTATTTGAGCACACATTATTTGCAATTCAAGTATTTATTGGTAATTTTATCTATTACTTCAACTTCAATTTTAAATTGAAAAAATTTAGAACCTAAAAGTTGTGTTTGCGTATCTCACAAATAGATGATATACCTGATATATGTTTCTTTCATCCATTTTGATATATTGTCCTAATGGATAAAGACTCAGGAAGAACATAGCACCCACCACCCAGTGCATTTATAAACACTATCAGTTGCTCGCCTCTACCCTCTTATCCATTAATTCAATGAACCAAACACATGATGTTTCAGTTGCCAATTCAATATTATCTTAGAATAGATTTGCTGAAAATACCTTGTCATAAGACTTAACATGTACGACATCATAAATATTAGATTGTTTCTCCATCTGTGCAAAAGCTTCGCTAATAGTTATTCCCGAAATATTTACAAGCATTAAGACATATCACATACATGATTAACTAAACTAAACTGCAACAACTACAATTCAACAAAAAGGCATCCAATACTGAATAACTAATCAATCAATTTAGAAAATAAAACATAATAAGACAAATTCATCAACTTATCTAACAATACATTTTTCAAATAAGTTATTTAAAATTAATAGTAAATCTATATTTATATATTCCAAAAATTTGCTAATTTATGAAATTAAGGACACAACTAAAAAGACACTTTTCAAATAAGTTATTTAAAATTAATACTAAAATTATATCAGTATGTGTTACCATAAAAGTATATGCTTATACTATAAAAAGAAGGAGAAAGAGAAGCAATGAGGATAATTCGATATTTAGAAGAATATGCATGTCCTTTAAATTTATGTTTCACAAGATTGACAAGATATCCATATAACATTATCAACAATGGTTGTTAACATCAATTACTTTAAGGAAAAAAATGAAGGAAGTTAGTCCGTGGAATATGTAGTTCATATCATATGAATAGAATCGCCTGTATAAATTTATTCAGGCAAACACATTAATTGTTTAATTATTTTTTCTTTTATGTAGTAATATTATATCTTTATTCTATAAATTTCTAACACGATTATATGGAAGGAATGCAAAAGGGAATTGTGACACGTAATTCATGGTGGATTGGAAGAGAGAAAAATAACAATAAATAATTAAATGTGAATGAAGAAACTTGAAATTTGATCTAATATTTATGCTCCTCATGACTTGATATATTTCAAATTTGTAAGTACGCGAACTTATACCCATCAATACTGTTTGGTCATAGAGAAATGGAATTATGATAACTCTTCTTGCGCGGATTAAATTATCTCTTTGATTTCCAATGCAAGATACATGAAATTACATATCTAGTATGAGGACATTTTTTTTTTGTTTTTGCAAATAATAACATAAAGAAGGTAAAAATCATACTTGTTACTTTGTTCTGTTAGACGGATGATACTCATCTAGGTCTCGATCCCTCATGCCCCTCTGATGTAGGTTAAAGAGTTGCTTTCTTCAAAACAAAAAGTTGCCACCGTTTCATTAAATGACTTCATCGTAGGCGTGAGTTTTTGTAGCTGTTTATAGCCATTTATAGGATATTTAAATTATTTAGAGGGGTATTTTGGTAATCTAACTTTTTAACTATGAGCTTCTCACTTTTAATATAATATAGATAAGAAAATTTATTAATATCAG